GATTGTGCCATACTCTGCTAAAAAGCTGTTGCAGTGAAATGACCTGTAGTTTCTCACGTATTTCCCAAGATTACAGAAACTACTCATAAAAACTCTGTGCTGAAAATACCGTTATTAAGGTGCAATAGGTCATTTTTTACAGAAATATTTCACACAAAGAACAGCACTTTTGATAAATATAATTAAAAGTGTGTTAATGTCATGAAGACTACACATCTATTTTCTAGAAACAGCTATTTTATTCTGCATTGGGCAGGTCGCCCCCTCATGGGCGCAGCCATATTTACATCACATGACAAGCCATCCAAATGACAAGCATGGCAAACTAGTACCACCACCAATGATACATTCATTTTTTTCAAAGCTCAAGACAGTTTATAAAGTGTAAAAGTACATCTAAAAAAAACACACACACACACACACGTAACAACAAACAAGCAATACAGCCTACCACAGTGGTTCTCAATCGGGGGGCCTCAAGATAAATTAAAATGACAAAACATAAAACAAAGATGCGTTAACAGCATAGTGCAGCGTGTGGATTTGCAAGTGTGTTATAAAAGGAACGGCTTCATTGCAGCGCCAGAGGTTAGCAAACACATTTCTTACATACAGAACCAACAGATCAGTATAAAATGCAAAACCACTGGTACTGCTGGGATGAATAGGTTAAATGAAAACAAAAACCTGAATATACCTGTAGTTACAGTTGGATTGTTTAAATTTGGTCTGTTAACATCTACATTGTCAATTTATTAGATTCTCATATCAATGATTAATTTAAATGAAAAAATGTTCACAAGACAAAAGCATTAGCCTCTGAGCTTTTAAAATATGTTGTTATTGCTTGGTGGCTAAGAGTTCACTTGATGAAAAACACTTTTGCCAAAATTGCTCTAAAGTGCTAAAAATGCAATTTAAGTCCGTAGCTCACAAGACTTTGAGGCACCACATGTGTGTTGATGCAGAGGACCTTTCTAATGTGCTTCAATCAGGTTGCACAGTATGCACCATAAAGGGAGGAGCTTTAGTAAGGAACAATAGTTTAGTGATAATGCTTCCATTTATGGATGAAATGAAAGAGGAAGCAGTATCATGCTTCAATGTTTATGTATAAACAAAACATAATTGCTGTGGAAACAGTTCCCTTGAGATTTTTTCTTTTTAAGCATCTCATCTTAAAAAAGTACTGGAATATGCATGGGATGCATGCTGACCAGTGACCATGACATTTACCATATTGTAACTATAAACAACCCCCCCAAAAGTTTGAAAGTCAGTTTCACTCCAAGCATGAACAGTGGAAGGATGTGCAGATGTGATGAAGATAAAGTGATATACACCACAAAAAACTGAGCTTCCTGGTATGAATCTGATGACAAATAAACAGTGTGGATATCTACCACATAACGTGTCAGTATGGCAACTTAAAAAGAGGAATGTGCGCAGTTTTAATGTGGCGACCAGGAGAGCTGTGAAAAGCAGGTGAATGCATGAAGCCACATGCTTTGCTTGTATTACTTTTGCTTCATGATTGAGATTGGGACTCTGCAGACACATGCCATAGATGCACAGAGATAAATGAGACCTTCAGTAAAAGACAATTTTAATTGAAAATATACATTGAAAACATAATACATGCTATAGTACACACATATGGGTGAAACAGCACTGGCTAAATATTAGCATAATTAACATTCAACACCATAATACTGAGGTGGTGTTTGCACTAACGGTTATTTGTATAACATGTAAAAATGTAAAATAAAACCTTGCAGTCATTCAGCTTCAGAGAGCAGGTGACTCAGAGAAAGTAATCACTGGCTAAGCTGCAAAGCTGAGCAAAGGTAAATTTATGCAAATGAGCAGCGTTGCAATATGGCAAATACCAATGGAAGCGCAAACAGTGATCCGCCACCTGATATCATTGGATATTGGAATTGAGGAAGAGCACAGCGATTTACATGTCGGGTTCATTACAAGCTCAATCAACAGCATTCAATATTTCTGACATTAGAACTCACCATTATAATAGAAGTAAGTGGGGCTAATTTCTGGAGGCTTTGTGATCATTTTAATTTTATAAAAGCACTTATTGGCCTGGTTTCACTAAGCCAGGATTGGGCCTTAGTTAAAGCTGCAGTCCGTAAATTTGGCCCCTTTGTCGCCATCTCTGTTTGAAAACCTGGGATTGCAGTTACTTGCGGAATTCTCCAAGTAGGTATAACTGCAGACCTGATCTCTCCAAAAGTGGGCAGAACCTCCAAAATGGGGCGGGGTCTCCACGCGTAAAGACTTTTACCATTGGCTCTGGCTCCAGCCAATTGTTATTGACTTACATTTCAAAATAAAATTTTATAAATTAAACATGGTTTCTAGTTCATTTAAAATAAAATATGCTATATAAATAAATATTCTCCGTGAGAGCAGAGCCCAAAGCTCGTGGCCAGTGGTGTTTGGACTGGAGTTTGAACCTCTGCTTCATGATATTAACGGGAATCACCCACGAGCTCTCCCGCTAGCCGTCCCAGCGCAGTGCAGGGGAACGATTTTACTCTATCGCTTTGTTCTAAGCAACGGGGGCGTCCCGGGGCTCGAAATTTGCAGGGTAGGACAGTGTAGTGACGCTGGGTGTAACCAAAAAGGTGCCATTGTCCGGTGAGGCCCGGTTGGGGAGTTACGAAACGATCTCCTATCGCGTAATCTTATTAACTGTTTATCTCCTGAACTGCAACTTTCTTTACCATGCTATTCAGAGCCAATCCCGCCGTGCAGTCACTTTCACTGGTTAAGGTTAGGGTCAGGTGCGGGGTAGGTTTACGGGTTAGCATTTTTTTGTAGCATAGTGTAGGAAATCAACACTTTAATTGACTCAACCAATAAAATCTTTACAATCAGCTGTGGGGCGGAGTTTGCACTGAAGTGGATTGGGGGAAAAAATTGTGCATGCGTGTCATGTGCCTGTCTGTCAATGGGAGGAAGCCACGCCCTATTTTGGAGCTCCCACCCCGTTTTGGAGTTCCCGCCCCCATTTGGAGATCTCCAGGCTGCAGTTATAACCTTCTCGAATTATCTTCCTTGTGTGGGTTGTAGTCTGGCACGGCTCCAGCGAGGACGAATCTAATGTTTTGAGGAGTATGTGTGGCAGTCTTGCTGCGTTCATGTCCTCCTGGGACGTTCGTACGAGTTGACAAGCCGTAATTACGACGTCAGGTGCGTTCAAGTCAGTTTAGTCGGCACACCTTCTCGAATTATCTTCCTTGTGTGGGTTGTAGTCTGGCACGGCTCCAGCGAGGACGAATCTAATGTTTTGAGGAGTATGTGTGGCAGTCTTGCTGCGTTCATGTCCTCCTGGGACGTTCGTACGAGTTGACAAGTCGTAATTACGACGTCAGGTGCGTTCAAGTCAGTTTAGTCGGCACAAGATGGCGGTGTACCTTCTTTTAATAAATTACAAGAAAATACAACAGGGTCTGTTAACTCTGCGTATAGAAAAAGAAGAGCAAAGAATTCGCATCAGGTGTGTTTTGCGTTTTTAATATTTTTAAAACATGCAACATGGCAAATCAAAAGACTTTTCACCTATAGGTGCAAAAATGATAGCATTTTTTTACTTGGATTTCATTAACTAGCTGCGTAACAAGAACATGACCAATTTAAGTTTATAGGACAACTAAACTATCAATTTAAACAAAAATTTACCATCAACTACAGACGTTGCATCCATGGATTCCGCCATGTTTCTCATTGACATGCCCCCAACTCGGAAACTCGGGGCTTAAAGAAAATTTTGAGTTTCCCACTCTAATAAAGACTTTGTGGTGGTGTTCAACTCATGTGCGTTCAACTCATAAATACGATCTATCCGACATGACTTGAACGCACCATAAGTCACGGCACCGGTGTGAATTCTTTAGTAATAACAGATTCTAGCCTACGTCTTGGAATATATGACTCATATAAGAATTTTCACCGTATATTGTCATCTGAACAAGTAACAAGTCTGCCACGTTTGTTCTGACCAACTGAGGAAAAAAACATTACAATAAATCATGCTACCAATGGTGATTTAATCTAACGATCAATTAGCTCATATCACATCAAACCATGCAAATTATTATTATACTTTATTCTCAGATTATTAATGTTAACAACATCAGCATTGCGTGACTATGAGTATAGTGTGTGTGTAGATTTCCATTTCTGTACAATCTAATCTCTTGTCATACCATTCGAATTTCATACCAATAAATTATTTTAACCCAAAAAGCAAACTATGCTCCCTTCAAATTGGTTGTCTTTAGCCTGTACATACAAAAATGTATATTGTAATATACCTGCACACACAATTGTCAATTTATATATTTTTATTCCTTATTTACTTGTTCTATTTTTTTTAATATCTGTTTTTTGTTCTGTCACTGTCATTCTGTTACACTGTGGAAGCTTCTGTCACGAAAACAAATTCCTCGTATGTGTAAATATACCTGGCAATAAAGCTCATTCCGATTCTGATTCTGATTCTTTAAAATACAAATCTTGTTTAATCCCAGGCTATCTGTAAACGCACTTAAAACTGGAATATAATTTCATTTCATTCACACGTGTTTCATGTAATCCTTTCTGGATTGCAATCCACCATCAAAATGATTTTTTTTACATTTAATTATTCTGGCTACTGTGAGAAAAGGCAAACGATCTGCCACCTGCAGCATCCTCACATGCCCAAGCCTAGCAGCCGGGACAACTTCTTTATGTTTACAGAAGTGACCTAATGACGCAGCGGTATGCTCGAATTTCCCGGGAAAACCGACCCATACCACTCAAATTAGAAAACATTATTATAAGCTAACCATTGGGAATCGGGCTAAAGTAAGGCGATAGTTTTGAACACTGGCTGGTTATGTACTTGCTAAAATACTGATTTTGGATAATCTTTAACCAAAAAAAGTTACAGACTCTAGCTTTAAATTAGAACATTTAATTCTTTTTTTTTTTTTTATATGTGCCCTAGGAAAAAAACATTACTGGTGTGCATCTTGATACAAATCAATGGGACTAATATATTTTAAGGTATGTGCAAGTTGCTTTCAGTTAAGGCAGCTCAAACATGCATTTAAGACTTAAGCTTTGTCTGTGAAACCAGGCATTAGTCTTCTATTAAAAACTGCTGTATAGCTGTTGTCATCATTTTAATGGTCATTTTAGGGTTTATGGTATTGCGTTCTCATCGTGACAAAGTTGTAAGATTGAATACAGAAAACTTTAGTATTTTTCCACACTAAATCATAACACACATTTTACTTAAGTCTTGTGGCTATCCTACTGAAACAGCGAGTAGCCTATTTTAATGTTTACAAATTAGCCCTTCAGTTTCTTCGTAACCGCCTCATTGCAACCAAGATTTTTGCTTTTTTTTTTTTTTTTAGAAAAATAGGTATCAGTTAAAATTAATTTGCAGAAATCAAATTTTTGTTGAGTTTAACTAGTAATGAACCCAGAATATTCCTCTAATCACCATCAGTGTAAACACCTCTAAAGACAGATCAGTAAAACGTGACCTTTTCGTGCATCTATTTATGAAGTATACAGAAGAATGAGGTACTTCTTGTGTGTTCTTTGTTTGTACTTCTGGTCTGTTCACCCATTTTCCATTCAGTTCTGCAAAACCCGTAACTCTTCCTGCTGTAGATTTCTCCCTGCAGCACAAGTGCTGGTTTTTCTTCCTCCTGTCCATTTAGCAAAGAATGATCGGAAATTTTCCCCAACGAAGAAGAAGAGAATAGGGTCCAGACAACTGTTAGCCGTGCACAAGCAATGCGCTATGACGGCAGCCTTACGGACTACCAAAATAAAGTCACACGAGTCTTTGTACCCATTTATCTGGCCATGCTTCTCAGTTGTTAAGAAGATTGTCCGCACTATGTGATACGGAAAAAAGCACACCAGAAAGATCCCAAGGCTGATGATGACCAGAGCGCAAGCCTTCTTCCTGCAAGGTCTGGTCCTACCGAGTGCAGGACTAGGCCTCAGAAGGTTCTTTGCAACCAAGACCGAGCAGAAAAGAACAACCACCAAAGGCAACACAAAGCCCACCGGAAATGCAACGTTGTTGATGAGGAGCAATTGGTCCACGTTGTCCTCCGCCAGCTCCAAACATCGAAAACTGCCTTCGTCTTGATGTTTTTTCTTAGTAAACAACAGTGGACTGCATGCCAAACCCATAAAGAGCCAAATGAGGGCACACACGATACCTGCGACGTAGTGTGTCTGTATGCGTATGTATAGGTATGGCCGCACCAGCGCCAGATAACGCAGGATATTCAGGGCCACTAGGAAATACACAGAGCTGTACATATTCAGATAAAACACGTATGAGATTAATTTACAGGTGACGTGACCAAACATCCAGTGTGAGTTCAGTATGTAGTATGAGACCCTCAGGGGCAGAGAGGACACCAGCATGAGGTCTGATACTAACAGGTTCACCATTAACAAGCTGACTGGAGTGAAACTCTTCTGGGTCCTCCATTGGCTGAAGAAGACGCAGACAGATAAAGAGTGACCGACAAGTCCCAGGACAAAAAAGAGTATGTATGCTGCAGGATACACTTGGCGTTTGAAGTAATCGGTGCTGTTGGAGCTCAAACAGGAGATGTTTTCCCTGAGCTCTGGAAAAGACACATTCATGTCCTTCCCTGGAGAAAGATTACAAAGTTAGTTTTAGTGATTTAAAACAAGCAACAGAACAGTTCTTAAAGAGATAGATTACCATTATGTGGTTACAAACCTAACATTCTTCTTGAACACAAAAGAAGGTATACTGAGGAATGTTTTGGCCCATGAAAGTCAATGGGGTTCAAAACAAAACAAGACCCAACTGACTTTCATGGCATGGATGGAAAAAAACAGCAACTTACTTTTCAGATTATCTTTTGTTTCGAAGATGAAAGCAAGCTATTTTTTTTGGTTGAACTATCCCTATCTCTGCCTTACCTTAGGCATGATAATGTAGACTCTTAAAAACTAGTTTTTTTGTTGGCATCAATGGCTCCACAAAGAACCTTTAACATCCACATAACCTTCCACAATATGTTCCTTTTAGTGGGAAAAAGGTTCTACATATTATAACATTCTTCACACAAAGAAAAAATGGTTCTTTTAAGAAATGTTCACAGAAAGGTTATTTGAAGAACTCAAAATGGTTGTTTTATTTGGCTTGACTCCGAAAACCCCCTTTTGGAGTCTTTATTATTAAGTGTAAGTGCTTTGCATTCTTACTGAAAGTTTTACAGTATGTACCATTTGCAGTTCACACTTTAATTTACTTTTACCTTTAAATGCGGTCTTGAAAACAGGTTTTGTGAGAACAATCTCCATCCCAATCCCAGTTAGTAAGGAGTCGTATTAAAAATAAATCTTTATCTCAAATTACTTCTCTCCATAGTGGCCACATGCCATGTTAACACACAGCTGAATGGTTTTGAACAATTACAACAACTGTAATTTAAAGCAAGTTTACGAGACACATTTATTATATATATATATATATTTAACAGCAAACTGTTAAAGCAAGACATGTTACCTTTTCTGCAGTGTGAAGAGGTGAAAAGCAGGTCGTCCAAAAGCGCGCACAGTTTTGTCACTAGCCAAACCAGCACAGCATTGTCAACTTCTAGAGGAGGTAAGAGGTAGAAAACACAGTAGAAGGAGGATGTCCCAAGACCGGCCTCCCCATCATCACTTTAATCTGTTCAAAAGGACCAACTCAACTCCTTCTATAAGAACAGCAGCCACCCTTCTACTTGCACTGCTCAGTACGGCAGGTCTTTCAATTGCTGTAGATAAGTGTTTTGAATATGTCTTGATAAACAGCATTTATATAAAAGGTCCAAAGTCCAAAGCTTATCATTATGAGTTAAGTGACAGAAGCCATTTAGGTGCAAAACGAAACACTGGTTACTCTGAATTGTGCATGTCAGCTTTAAACCACAACAGTATATGCAGATGTGCATTTTACCTCCCCCCTTATTCGTTTCCTCATGTAATATGGAATTTAACCCAGTTATGCTGCACTAAACTTTCACAAGCACTTCTGATGATGATGATGTACTGATAACCTTTTAAAAGAACCCACTGCTGACAAAGCAGAGCCTTTGTGAGCGTCTATGCTATGATGATAGCAGTACATTAAAAACCATAAATGACGTGATGGGGAATTTGAATTTCATCTTCTGCCTTCATGTATAGACATGTTCCAGTATTTGAGTCATGAACATTTCTAAACAGTAACCTACTTATGAAATACGTGATTTCACAACTATTGGGAAGCATGGATGAAAAAACGATTTCAAAGCAAAAATGATCAGGTTTAAAAAAACAAACAAACAAGACACTAAGAGATTATTCTCTGAACTTTAAATACAACTAATGCGAGCAAGACATTTGCGAACTTCATTTCCTGACTAACAGCATTCCGGTAGGTAATATATCTGCCAACGCTTGCCTAAACAGTTCATCGAAAAAAACAAGTGTGATTTATCATTTTATCACCATGTGCTATGGCTAGTCTCAGTTTATGGGAACAAGAGGCAGGTAAAGGTGCCACTGTCTTCCTTGAATAAAAACAGGACACATTTCATTGTTCTTAAACAAATCGGTTGTTAAACTTGAGGCATTACATAATAAAAAAAAAAAAAGAACATTTGAGGTATAACAATTTTTTTTGAATATTAGTAACAAAAGCTCTAAAACAATCTTAAAATCCAACAGCAAATACAACAACGCGGTCCAGGAAGAACATAAAAATCTCAGACAGATGACCGGCTGTGTTGACAAACACATCCACATCCACTTACATAACAATAACATACTAAAACCCCAGTAATGCTTAAACGGCAACAAATTTATAATAGTTTAAAAATTAAATCATGCAAAACGGGGTCCTCAAAGAAACAAGGCCATCACAATACATGATTAAAGGAAACACTGTTGTAAAATTTGATCTTACACCCTGTGTAAATCACAATTTCATGTACAGCAATGAGGAAAAGTAGGCAGCTCTAAAATTAATGAAAAAAAATAATAATAATAATTATCATGACACACTAAACCTGCCAGTTTTTATATGTTTGTAAATGAAAAAAATGAAAATTGTGTCATCATTTACCCACCCTCAGGTTGTTCCAAATGTTAGTAACCAAACAGCTGATATACCCAACTGACTTTAATAGTATTTTTTTCCATACTATAGAAGTCAATGGAGTCCATCAACTGTTTGGTTACCAACATTCTTCAAAATATGTTCTCTGGTGTTCTGCAGGAGGAGGAAATTCATACAGGTTTGGAACAACTTTGAGGGTCAGTAAATGATAACAGAATTGTTATTTTTGGGTCAACTATCCCAAAAATGAGGTATGTGTCATGTCATTTACTAAAAGAATAAAACCTCCTTCATGGACCCCCACACGCTTAAAACATACTAAAATGATATAACAGAAAAAGCACCTGTGCTATTTCAGGAAATGCAGTGCAGGTGGAGGAGTCCAAAATGTAGTAGCAACAAAACACCCAGGCATGTGAACGTTTCCCTTTCAATGGAGGAGTGGTTTTTCTCAGGCAGTACAAAGTGGATTTATTTAGGGCTCTGGATGCTCTTTAAAGGACTCCTCCTTCAGTTTCTGTTCCTGCATACGAGTACGTGTCGAGCCTGAAGGGACAAGAAGAAATGTTCAAGCAATAGCCTTTAACGTGATGCTGAATTATACAATAATGACTTGCATCTTTTGATTATTGTATTTCGCAACGTTTCTATCTGAATGTAATTAGGCGGAATAGAAAACTAATTCCATTTGTTGAATATTCAGCTGGAAAATATGGGATTCTTGTCATTCTTAATTATAAAAGAAAAACTCTGATACTCACCAAGACTGCATTTATATGATGAATAATGTAGAAATATTTTGCAATATTACTTTTTTACTATAATTTAAAATAAATTTTCTATTTTAATATATTGGAAAATTTAATTTATGCATGTGATGGCAAAGATGAATTTTTAGCACCCATTACTCCAGTCTTTAATGTCACATGACACTTCAGAAATCACTCTTAATCATCTTAATTTTTTTTGCAGGATATATATTAATACATAATAATAATAATACAATACAATTGTTCTAGTCCTGGGTGATGACTGCTCAATACAGCATTCCAAAACGCACAACTGTTTTTGCTTTACATTTAATAGTGCAATAGAACTACTTCACATTATTTGCATGCGAGAATGCAGAAAAAAAGTGAAGTGATGCAAAAATATAGAGCAGGATATATCCAAAACAAGATCAATATGAGGAACTTGTTATTAAGCGATTATTGTTTCTAGCAGAGCAACACACAGGTGTGTGTGTGTCTCAGCTGTTGTACAACAGCTTCTAATGTGGCTCAACAAATCAGAAGTGTTACATGATGTAAAGCTGTTGTTGCACTGATGCCAGACTTACAAACAATATTTTCTTTTGGCTTGCATCCATCGATTTTCACATAAAAAGATAAAATAATAAAAAATGCTGAAGTACATTTCATTTCAGAAATATTTAATCAGATTTTTCAAAAGCTAAGCATTACCATGTGCTTCTTTAATGTACACTACCATTCACAGGGAATCTGCAGGATTTCTACGATCAGATTTAAGACTTTTTAAGACCTGCACAAATAAAATAAAATACCGTATTATATTAATTTAAACAATCATTATCAATCATTACATTAATAAAATAACAAATATATTTTACTGTCTTTATTGTTCAGATTTTTATAATGCATTAGATACTTGTCAATCCACCAATTCACATTTACAACTCTGCTTGTTTGCTGCATAAAAATACGGATCTATTTTCACATCGGTCTGAACAAAAACAGCAGATGGGCAGATTGAAAATGCAAATTAATTCTCTGCCAAAACGTGCACCGCTCATATTTATTCAATGAAATCGTAGCCTTTTGAAGTTTCATCAAGCCATATTGCATTTCTTGTCTTTCTGTGCCCAAATTTAAGACCTCTTGAAATCATAATTAAGACTTTCTTGTATAATTTAAGACTTTAAGGACCTGCGGAAACCCTGCATTCAAAAGTTTGGGGTGTCAGTAAGATGTTTTTATTTATTTTTTTATTAAAACTTTTATTCAGCAAAGATGCATTAAATAGATCTGAAGTGACAGTCGAGCCATTTATAATGTTACAAAAGATTTCCATTTCAAATAAATGCTGTTTTTGAACTTTATATTCAAAGAATCTATAGAATTTATATTCAAGTGTTTTTAACATTGATAATAATAAGAAATGTCAAAATGTTGACCACCAAATCAGCATATTAGAATGATTTCTGAAGAATCATGTGACACTAATTCAGCCTGGCCATCATAGGAATAAATAACATATATATTGATATTAAAACAATTTATTCTTTGAATTTCCTACTGTGATATGCAATCACTCAAGACAAAGGATTGTGGTTATACAACCAACCTCTAATTTGCACTATATAATAAAAACCAACATCTGACTCATAACAAAGAAAAAAAAAATCTACAGACAGGAGGAAGTGTGATGGCTTGAGTATTTTTGTGGTTCTGGGAAATCCAGCTCAAAATGTAGACAATAGATACGCACGAAGGTTGTAGGAAACTTACTCATCTCAGCCAGCTTCTGGATCAGTGTTGACTCGCCACTCGATTTGCTAAAAATTAACAAACATTCTCAATGATTCACTGGATTCAAACTTGGAGAGATAAATAAACAAAAAATAGAACATAAATCCCACCTTCCATCAGCTTCATCTTGCCCATCCATGTCAAAGCGTAATCTCTTCAGGGGTTTGGGGGCGGAGCCTCCATTCAGACTCCTCTTGAGGGACCAATCGGTGCTGCTCACCATCTCATTAATTTTTTGAAATTTGTCTGCAGACTGTTGAGATGAAGAGAGAGATTTTTATATAAAGTCTAACATATTTAAAATGGATTGAACATTCAATAACTGCTTTTCATCACTAACCCCAAAGGATTCGCCGATAGATATAAGAATTCTGTCCAGGACACCATAAAAGAAAAGATACAGCACAATTAATACACAAAAAAAACAAACAAACTAGTCAACCTCATGCCTCATCCCAAAATAATAGCAAAAGATGAAAGTTATCTAGTCAAAAGACAATACAGCATTTAAAGTGTAAAGATTCTGTGTCCAAAACTGATAAGAAGATCTCCCGAATCTAATGACAGATGTGAACACAGACCTGCTCCGTGGGGTCATGACCACTGGGGACATACGGCTGCTTTTCAAAGGGGAGACATAGACGTTATTGCTGCCAGGCACCCGCAGAGGAGAGTTTTTATAGGGGCTGCAGGGGATGCGGGGAATGGGAGACAGAGGCGGTGGCTGGGAGACAAACAGAAACACTCTCAGGTCAACCAAAAGTTGCTGTGAAATCTTTAATTCATTTGAACATGACTTCAGGCCACTAGGGGGCAGTATAATACAAGTAAAGTTTGATTCAATGAAAGTAAAAGTGAGCGCCTCACCCGAGGAGAGGAATACTGAAGAATGTTAGTCTTCAGCTTCTGCATGAAGACCAGGTTGTAGAAAACAATGATGGAGTCGTACTCTACCTCTCTGATAAGCACGCGCTTAAATGACTGACACATTCGGGGGAAAATAAAGAGAAAGATGGCTTGAATATTTGTTAATAACAATTTAGATTCATTCTTTTTGTATTTGAATTATCATCTGAATTAAATCATTTAAAAGGGAACAAGACAAATTGACTCTCACCTCCTGATTAGTATTAGGCATCTCTTTGTAAGCGGTCACAATCGTTTCCAAAAGTTGCTGTGAAATCTTTAATTCATTTGAACGTGACTTCAGGCCACTAGGGGGCAGTATAATACAAGTAAAGTTTGATTCAATGAAAGTAAAAGTGAGCGCCTCACCCGAGGAGAGGAATACTGAAGAATGTTAGTCTTCAGCTTCTGCATGAAGACCAGGTTGTAGAAAACAATGATGGAGTCGTACTGTCCCTCTCTGATAAGCACACGCTTAAATGTCTGACACATTCGGGGGAAAATAAAGAGAAAGATGGCTTGAATATTTGTTAATAACAATTTAGATTCATTCTTTTTGTATTTGAATTATCATCTGAATTAAATCATTTAAAAGGGAACAAGACAAATTGACTCTCACCTCCTGATTAGTATTAGGCATCTCTTTGTAAGCGGTCACAATCGTTTTGAAGCGCAAGTCCACGTTCTTCACCTTGCATATGGCATACATAGCCGACATGATCAACTGCAAAGAAAAGAGGGAGGAGAGGGTCAAGTTTTTAAAACATGACATTGAATAAACCGCAAAGCTAACAGAATGCAAATGCAGGCTATTATATCATTTATGAAAAAAAGAGCTGGTTGTACCTGGTCTAAGTGTCTGTCTCGCATTAATTCATACTCATTCTGGAGGGTGTGCTGAAGCAAGGTCCATATTATTGGCTCCAGTTCTGGGTGTGAGGTCAGCAGTTGCGAGAACAGTGTTTTCAGTCGCATGTAGGCCATCCTGTACACTGAAAAACAGAAAAAACAAACAAACTGTTAAGTGTATGTATATATATATATATATATTTATATATATATATATATATATATATATATATACAATATATATATATATATATATATATATATTTATATTTGATTTTAGGAGAGCAAAACCAACGCTATGCTATTAATGCATGCTATTATAGCTTGTGTATAAACCAACAAAAAAGCTTTAAATGTTCTTTTCAGAACTCACTGCATTTGAATGTAAACTTTGCTTTAACGTACATTTTTTGTAGAAGAGGCTCAGAGAGTTTGAACGGAGTGCTTTGGTGCCTGGTGTGGGGGGCTCGGCCTCTGTTGCTGGGGGTTGTCGGCTCGGTCGAACAGGAGAGAGATACCTGAGCAAGGTGAGAAGGTTAAACACATCACATTCACATTTTGCCAATGAAAAGGAGATAAAAACGAGAGAGCTAATGAATGTCAGTGGTTAAAATACTGTTCAAATGTTTGTTTTTATGCTCGCCAAGTCTTCATTTATTTGATCAAAAACACAGCAAAATACAGTAATACTGTGAAATATTACAATGCAACACACACACACATATGTTTTTAATGTAAATGTAACTATTAACAATAATCATTAAGTAGCGGTTACAACAATGAGGTGAACAAACCATTCAGTCTTTAGATTTAGCTTTAGAATCAGATCAATAGATTCGTTAAAAAAATACCAGCTCAAAAGAATGATTCATTACATGATAAAATCATTTAGAAATCTAAGGAAATTAATCCCCTTTCTAAATGAAGATTTAGGCTAAACCTTTTGCTAATTGGTGTTGAGGCATTTAGTGTCAAAGGCTGAGGGTAAGGTCCTAATGTTTGAGCGTGACAAACGTGCTAAAGATGTTGATTCAGATGCAAGTTCACATCGGCAGAACAATCTTGTACTGAATTTGCTTTCCCATGCACTGGTTATGCAATAACTTCCCATGTTAGAATGGGGCACATTTCCTCTTTAACCCAAATTAATTTTAGAAATTGCAGCTGCATATACAGCATCCTCTGAATAGTGGTAGAAATTGACCCCAAAAGAGTTGATTCCTCAATTTAAACTATCCCTAGTATCAAATAATTGATTCTTTTACAAATGGCGCTGTCCCCTCTTAAACAGGATGTTGTGAGTGGCTCAGAATTGCACAGTCCTAGTTCTGAGGGATGACTTACAGGTCAGCAGCGGTGTGGTTGTGATGCAGGGGTTGGTTTAGTGTCGCGGGGGGCTCTGCTTGTTCACCAGGTCCTTCCTCACGAGACTGTTTGAGGAGGTCAAAGAGAGGAGAGTCCTGCACAGAAAAACAAGATGTTGAGTTAAATCACTGATCCGAAACCGAGAATGCCTCATAAAGGGGAACCGATTAGAGCAGTGTTTCGTGTAAAAAAAAACATTTTTTAATATTTTTAAATTGCTAAGCATCTATTATATAATATCCTTTTCTGATGTCGCCAATAATTAGAGATACACCGAAATTCCGGCTGCCGAAAATTAGTTCACTGCTCAGGTTTCACGTGGTGTGACGCTCTGCATATTATCCCGCTTTATGCATGTGCGCTCTGCTCAGTCGTGAGCGCTCCACTCATATACCGTTCTTGCTCATCGGAACAGCAAAGTCCACTCAAAAATCGAGCCGACAGCCAGGACACATCTATATAGTACAGTATTGTTTCTGTTTGCAATAGCCGTACTGTGCTGTAACATGGTGTGGTAGCCTACAGTATATTGGGCAACTCTGGTAACGCTGCCCTCTCATTCATTGATCTGCTAACCGCTATGTTATGCTCACGTGTTCTGATAATAATAGCTTTCTAGGACTAAACATTATTTGGATAATTGGTAAAAACCAAAAAAACAATCTCTTAATAGCCCTACTGTTAGACCTACCTGAAAAACTAAAAAGCAATTTATTTAATTTGTAGGCCTATCGGTATTTTTTGATTTGTAATTGCTTTATTTGTTCTTATTTGATTACTGACTGCTTGTCATTTTTTATTCAATTCAAAGTTTGAAATCAAGCTATCTCGTGCTACTGCAACAAAATTACCCCACTGCAAAATCAAAAATAAACGGAGTGAGCAAAAATTTGTGAGATAGCTAGTTATAATGGTAATTAAACAATGTTTACATATGAATAAAAGCCTACATTAAAATCTGTCACATAAATTGGTCTCTTCATTAGAAATTAGTCTACTGATTGCCTCCATTGATGGACAAAAAAAAAAAAATTATAATATTAAAAATATCTGTATATTCTGCAGTTCTTCCCTGCTGTACCGAATATCTATACTTTTCAAAGCATCATATCGAAGTTGAGAATTTGTTAATTTCCAAAGGGTGCCACAACTAAAAAAAGGTTGGGAAACACTGGATTAGTCACTATGACTAATCCAGTCATTTCATTTGAACACTATGTGATTAAGAAATTTATATATTTTATTCCCAAATATTTTTTTTATATTTATATTAATTATATTAAACTATAAAAGACACTTTTAGAGAAAAAAAATCAATTAAAAATCATTTTTTCCCTTGGTGATTTAATTATTCACACTTCAAACTGTTTATAATGTGAAAGATAAGAAAAGAGGACAGATAAAAAGGTTCAATGTTTTTTTTTTACATTAGCAAGCTTTTTACTCAAATAATTTCATTCAAATAACCAGTTGGACAAAAAGTATAATTAACTCCTGACACTCCCTTGATTAACAAGTTTTTTGAGTTTGCATATTGTGTTGTATGTATGATGTCATGTGTTAAATGTTAAATGTGTGAACTTTGGACTGGCAACCCCTCTTTGTATGTGCCTAGGAATCAATGAGCAGTGTGCTCTTGCAAACAACACACACACCCCTTATAACACATAAGAAACCACAAGGAAAAGGCAAAACAAAAACGACAAACCACTTTCTAGCAAAGGTCTGAACAATCAAGGGCCTCAAAATAAAAATGTACTAAATGTGCATGAGAGAGTAACAGATGGAAAGGAGGTGCTTTAACTCCAGCCCCACCCTCTTGTCTGCCTTCCAGTCCTCCACAAGAAGAAAAACTCACTGCATAAACTACAGACTGAGCAGCAGGTTGGATACTAAAAGCCTCACATTGCTACAACTCGATGATCTCGATGAGACAAAGATGATCACGCTTCAAGTCACACAGCGATGGGAAGCCAATTAAAGGAACAAGAAACCAGGCTGGTTGGTGGAAATTTCACATTGCTCTTCTTCGTGAAGGAAGTCAACAGGCTATGTATGATTCATCCTTTCATGAAAGGCCCAAGACTGAAGTCAAGAATCTTGTGAGCATTTTGGAACTGTGAATATGAAGAACAAACATCTAGAAACCAACTTCCTGTGCCGGTAAGAAGGTGGCTATTTATAGAACCCCACGCAAAGCATCCACCATGCCTTGTTGAGAGGAAAAAGAAGGTAAACTGATGTAGTTTGCTCATGCAAATCGCTTACGTGCACGCTTATGCAATTTGGTAAGAGTGGTAAGGCAGCAGCTCTGTGAAATGTATACACACTGGATTTGTATACTTTTACGTGGATCTTCATAGAATTTCATGTTTCGGCTCTCTGACCTTTAAAAGCACTGACTGACTCCTTTTAAGCCAAACTCTAATCGATGACAATGACAGAGAAGAACTATTCAAACTGTAACAATGATGACTTTAAATGTGTGTTATACAGCTCCGTTTTCAGTATTGTCTTTATTCTTGGGCTGCTCTTCAACATGGTGGCCATGTACATTTTTGTTTGCAGACTGAAAATGCGCAACGAGACCACAACATACATGCTGAACCTTGTGGTCTCGGACACCCTCTTCGTCCTCAGCTTGCCTTTCAGGACGTTCTACTTTATTAACCGTCAGTGGCCTTTCGGCGACGCTCTCTGCAAAATTTCAGTGGCCTTGTTCTACACCAACATGTACGGCAGCATCCTCTTCCTCACGTGCATCAGCATGGATCGCTACCTGGCCATCGTTTACCCCTTCGCGTCTAGAATATTGAGGACCAAGCGCAATGCTAGAATAGCCTGCTGTGTGATCTGGGTGGTTCTGCTGGCGGGAGGCCTAACCGCAGGTTTCGTGATGGACACCACTTCATATACAAACCACCAAACATACTGTTTTGAAAACTACTCCAACTCCCAGTGGAAGTCCAAGGTATCAAAAGTCGTGGTGTTTTTGGAAACGGTGGGTTTCCTGATTCCGCTGATGATCAACTTGATCTGCTGTATAAGGGTCCTACAGACCTTACGACACCCAGAAAGCATCAACCGTGGAGGACAGCTGAACAAGGCTAAGATATTGCGTATGATTGTGGTGCACTTGCTTATTTTTTGTTTTTGCTTCATTCCGTACCATGTCATTCTGGTCTTCTACACCCTGGTTCGAAGTCAGGTTATTACAAACTGCACTGTGGAGTCAGTGGTCCGGACAATTTATCCAATTGCATTTTGCATCGCCGTGACCAACTGCTGCTTTGACCCAGTGATCTATTACTTCACCTCCGAGACGATTCAGAACTCTATTAAAAGGAAGTCTTACGCTGTCCGCAAAAACACGCTAAACAACCCAATTGACAATAGTGTTAACAACAGAAGTGATTCGATGAATAAAATCACATCTCTTAAAGTTAAATTCATCACTGAAGAGTCTACAATATGACCAAAGTTCAGGCAGCAATTGTTTTTTGTAGAATATTCTCATCTGACATACTCAGCCAATGTTAGTAATTGGTTGGCACAGGATATATTTGACTAATAACTAACTGAAGACTGCTGAACTTGTAACAGTATAAAGTCTGAGTATCATCTTGGTGCTAGAATGGATGTGTGTTTACAGACCAAACTCAACAAACATTTTTCTTAATGGATTACTGATCCTGTAATTGTATAAGAACTGTATATGACCGAGAACTGACAAAGAAAAAAAAAGCAGTATTTCTGTACAAAATGCTACATTTCAAGACAAACAACTTTGAATGAGCCTTAAACTTTCTTGCTTCACCTTGAAAAACGGCAGCACTTTACATATGAATTAAAAATGAATATATTTTACAGCACTTAATAATCCAGGTTAATATTAATTTATAAATAACTTAATTCATGTTCGTTCAAAATACACAATTTGTACAAAATGTATATGTACAAATTAACTAAATTGTTCAATGCTGTTGTTGTTCATTGTTATTTCATATAAGCTATTAAGTTAACGAAATGTTAATTGAACTTTATTGTAAAGTGTTACCATCTAAACAAATTTCATTATTTTGTTTAACATTTAACTGTATTAATGCAATAAACCTCTAGTTTATGTTTAGTAATATTCACAAAACTGCCAGTCTCTTGTAACAAATGACACTTGGGGTAAAAATGTTCTGATAAAATATTCTCATGTGTTGTTTCATGTTTATTCCTGGGAAAATCAGACAGTTTGTATTGTTTTTCAAGCCAAGTCATGATTAAGGTAAACAAATTCCATTATATCCATTTAGTCTGAGGACAAACAGTGAGAGGAAAAGGGAGTGACTCAAAGAGAATGATGACATTACGTGGGCTTTGGTCTACTGATTATATCAAGGTTTGTCAGTGCAAGAAATTAAGCTGCTGACGAACAGGTCTGAAGGGTGTGCCACTTATATATGGTTAGAGATTTACACAGCAATAGCTCAAGCAGTGTTTTATATATACATTTTATATATACACCTTATTTTAAAATATATTTTTTTAAATACAGCTTTTAAAACATACCATGAAGGAACTGAATGACCCAAATCAAAGTTGCATTTCAGGAGTGTTGAACAGGACTGAACAAGTCCTGCTCCATCACTCAACACTGCATTCCTTGTGCAATCACATGCCCAGGGGGCACGCTCAGAAACTCTTTCAAATCATACCTCTAAAGGGCATTTTATACGGTATGCGATTGGCAGCAGGCTTTGCATGTGATCTTATTGCCACAAACACACAAGCCTGAATGGAATGGAATGAGCCGGTGCAAGACATTAAGGCGAGTTAAAAACATGCTGCACTTTTGAGCGATTACTATTATGCTGTTTTCTGGATATAAATGCTAATACAAACATCAAAATGTAATTTTATTTCTTAACAAAATGCCTTGCATACATATAAAAATAGGACAGTGTTACAAAAATAAATGATTCACGAAATGTCAGAGCTCAGGAAATTAGGAAACTGTGACTACAAAACCTAAATGTATTTTTGGTTATAAATAAAATGCCCTATAATTAGTCAGTGGAAACTGGTAGATTCACAAAAATATCATCTTTGTTGTGCACATCACTAGCAGCAGGATTTCTGTGCATTCACTTGGGAAATGGCTCCACTTCCAATGTGACCCTAAAAGGCATTAACTTCTTAAACTCTACAACACATCTGTAACTTTCACTCGGGTCCAATGTGTGAACATCTACAATGTTTGAGGGTTATCCATCTATAACAGGTCCTCAACTTAAACAAGAGAAGATAAAAAGGCCATTTAATCTGATACCACCTGTGAATCTTTGTGATGATCCATCAAGGAAACTCTGAGGAAACTGTCACTGAACCAGATAAGTGAGTCTTTGGACATGCAGACCAACTAATATTTCCTGTGTAGTGCTTAACATTTAAATAGGTCAAAACATGCACTGTCCTGGGAAAATCCAGCTTGACAGTGACTTGCACAACAGATCCTTGGACCGAGACAGACAAGTGAAAGCAAGTTACTAAAGAGGATAAAAATGCAGTTAAAAAAAAAATGTTTTTAAATAATTGTTTATTTTTTCCTTTAGAAAAAGAAAATTTTCAACAAGTTGGAAATTAAATAGCTATGTCACTATGGAAAATGGATGGCATATGACGCAAACATTATTAAACTGGTTTTGTAGTTTAACACATTCTTACTAATGCGTCAAGTCATTTTTGCCATTTTTGCTAAACCTCATCTACGTTAGCCAGTTAGATAACATCATCTTTGCAACAGCAATAAACAAGGTGTCACAGAAAACCAAAAATGCTTGTACAAGATCAAAGTAAAATGTAAAAACAAGTGGCAATTTTTTTTAGGTGTTTTGTAAATCACCACATTGTATGAAATTGTGTGAATTCAGCTTGTTTCAAAAATAAAAATTAAGTAATACAAGTAAAATATGCTTACTGAGTGAATTTAAATCTGCAGTAAATAAAGCCTACATATCTTCCATTTGACTTGTAAATGTGAAGAGAACAAATATCTTTTTAAAATTGAAACATTATGATTAAAGGGGTCATATGATGCGATTTAAATTTTTCCTTTCTCTTTGGAGTGTTACAAGCTCTTGGTGCATAAAGAAGATCTGTAAAGTTGCAAAGACTAAAGTCACAAATCCAAAGAGATATTCTTTATAAAAGTTCAGAGTCAGCCACGCCGATCGTTCTAACACGCCCCCACATATCTACCTCACTATGTGGGAAGATTTGCATAACGCCGCCCAAATGTTCACGCAAACAAAGAAGGTGTAACTTTTAGTCTCACTGTAGTTTTGTTGACGCTGCAGCCATGTCGTGAAGGCGCTGTGTGCTTCGTTGTGAAAGCGAAACTACTTTGTTTGGTCTTCCAAAAGAGGACGATATCTGCTTCGTCATGCCTAGAGCTGATCTGTGCTGGTCGCTGAAGGAATACATCAATTTTCACCGTGGACGAAGCGGAATCCAGCCCGGGGTTCGTCACATGTGGTTGCTGCTCATTCGTCGGATCTGCCGGGCGCGCCGTTCTCGACCCCGCTGCCTCAGCTCACACTAAGCCGGGGCTTCCGCTCACGCTAGCCTGGACTCAGATCACTCTAGCTCGGCCTCAGCGCACGCTAGGCCGCTGTGTTTTTCGTTGTGAAAGGGAAACTACTTTGTTTGGTCTTCCAAAAGAGGACACGACTACAAATCAGTGGTTAAGTTGTATTTACAACACTGTTCCAGAACACTTCAACCCAAATATTCAGATGTATTTAAAGGATTTGCCACTGATGATTCAAATGCGAGTTTTGGGTAGTACAGTAGCACTTGTTGTTTGTCATTTCTCTGATCACAAATGCGGACAGAGTTTTATGTTTACGCGGCGCGATGGAATGCAACGCAATGCTTAAAAAGACAGTACAAGTCATTATAATCAGTAATTATGTCCCCACTGGATGCAACAAATGCCTCCTTTGTGTAATGGGTTTTAATGTTTTTGTCTCGTCGCTCCGGCCGGGACACGGCATCAACAGTAAGTGAGGGGCGTAACATTTCCGTCTCACGCTTGAGGTATTCGGCCAATCACAGCACACCTCGCTTTTTCAGACCAATGAGCTTTGTACAAAATCGACGCGTTTCAAAAAGGCGGGGCATAGAGGAGAAACAATGTACAGTATGTGGAAAATAATGTTTTTTTAACTTTAAACCGCATAAACATTTCATTACACCAAATACACAAAATAATGTCCTTTTTAGCAGCATCATATGACCCCTTCAACAAAAGGTTCCAGCTGTATGTGTTTTTTTTTTGCTTACTATTTCAAGTAGATTGCGTCTGTATCCAGAGCTGAACTACTATATTAATAATAACTCCACACATCCAGATTTGAACAGTTATATGGTACATGCATACACACACACACACACGAGTTTATTGATTTAGTGTGACAATATATAAAAATATATATATATATAATTCTAACACTATGGTGCCAGAAACCTCTTATTATATTATAATTAAAAATGTTAGTATCAGTATAACCGTACAGCCATTTTTCCTCTCGCCAAAGACAGGTTCTTCATTTGGTTCTGGACTGCAAGAAGCAGGTTTTGATTGATGCAAACAAAGGCCGGCCAAGCTGAAAGTGATCATGGATCTCCAAAACACAACGTACATATCTATTCAAGCCAACTGCACGGTGGACACCAGCTACCGCTTCACCTACTACAAGATCTCCTACAGCGTGATCTTCATATTCGGCGTAGTCAGCAATGCCACAGCGCTGCGGCGTTTCTGCCGGATGCCTCAAACCTTCACAAGCACGGCCATCTACATGGCCAACCTGGCCACTGCAGATATCTTCTTTGTGATCTCTCTCCCCCTGCGAATCTATTATTACCACAACAAAGCTGCTAATACTTCCAACCACACCAACGACTGGTCTCCAGGAGGTGCTTTCTGTCAGCTGACCTTCACGTTGAAGTATATCAGCCTATACGGAGGAATCTTCTTCCTGGTTTGTATTGGAGTAGACCGCTACTTTGCCGTGGTTCACCCTCTACATCAGCACCTGAGGAAGGTTCGAACCGCCCGTATGCTAAGCGTTGGGATCTGGTGCCTGGTCCTGGCCCTAAGCCTCACCCTGCCCTTTCTATATTCGGCGGCATCCCGATGGAACAAGCCGTGCCTCTTGGATCCTACTTCCAAACGCCACCGTACTATAATCCTAGCTGCTCTCGGCTTGGTCCAAATCGCCTATCTGTTGCCCGCATTGCTCCTGCTAATCAGCTACTGCAGCATACTCCGTGTGCTCTGCAGGCTGCCGCACCGAAGGAAGATCCGGCACCGACGCACACTCACCGTCATCTACTGGGTCCTGGTGGTCTTTTTTGTCTGCTTTACCCCTTATCACCTCAATCTATTAGGTTACACTCTCACACAGGTGGGCCTTGTACAGAGCTGCGGCCTGGCTCAAGTCACGAAAGTGCTCCATCCTGTAGTGCTCTCACTGGCCAGCACCAATTGCTGTCTAAACCCCCTCATTTACTATTTTTCCAGCAGCCTGATTCACAAAGAGCCGACTGGCAGTAGAGGAAGTGCTAGTCAATGAGGTCTTTGCTCAGCAACGTCACAGACTCTAAACTAGAAATGGATGTAATGGACCATGAAAAGTTTTAAACATCATTTAAAGGACTACTCTGCTATTTCTTGTTGCAGAGTAGCTAAACTAAGTGGAATACTTGCTAAACACATGCTTCAGTGATTGAACGAAGGAAACAATCCACATAAATGGTAGCGGAAAGTTACTCACTGCTTTCCACGCGAGACTCTCCATGATGACATGTTCGCACTGCTCCAGGTGCTTCATCATATCATGTTTCAGGGTGGGCTCGGCTTTAATGAAGCTCTCGATCACCTTGTAGAAGTCGAAAGCAGGCAGTTGGAAGACGTCTAAGATCCAGGGGAAGCACAGATCAGTTTCGACGGAATCACTGGCTCCTGAGCTGCGGACAAAACCTCCACTCTTTAAGGAGTTCCCTGGAAAAGGAAGCAACACGTGTGGCTAATGTATACAAGATTTTTCTCTTAAATGCAATCTATAAACTGAAGCTAAAAAAAGACTTTGGGTCACACTATGAGTGTTTAAATTTGTGGGGGGAAAAAAAAAACACAAAAAATGACTTACCAACATAGGTTGCCATAACAACTTCCAGGGCGCATGCAAGCAATGAGGTATGAAATGCTGCATTGTTGAGTAGTTTACTGAAAAAGGAAGTAACATGATTAATTGTCAGTGTATATTTCATAACAAAATTACAGATTATTTATGGCCATAATTATCTGATAAATGGCCTAAGATGCTGCTCATATTGTTCTTACCTGAAGTTTTGGACAGATATTCTCTTCTCCTCCTAAAAACAGCACAAATGTGACCACCAGAAAAAAAAAGTACAACTAAATAATATGATTGAAAGTTTCATTAAGGCTTACCGATTTAAGCATGGACTCCATGACTTTGTAGTAGAGCTGGGCACCAAGATTAAACCGCTGAAAACACAAAAAAATTTGTGCCTTTGTTGTACAAATTTACATTACCGTTTAAAAGTTTGGGGTTGAAACAAAAAAATAAAAAAATAAAAAAAATAAAATTGGGTTAAGATATTAATAAGATAAGTTTTTTGAAAAATGTTATTACAATTTTAAATTACTGTTTTCTATTTGAATACATTTTAAAATGATTTCTTCCAATGATGTTGAAGCAGAATTTTCAGCAGTCATTAATCCAGTCTTCAGTGTCACATAATCCTTCAGAAACTATTCTAATATGATGATTTGGTGCTCAAGAAACATTTCACATTATTATCCATGCATGATCAAATGGTTGTGCTGCTTAATATTTTTCTGAAAACTGTAGATACATTTCTTTTCAGGATTCTTTGATGAATAAAGTTCGAATGAACATCATTTATTTGAAATCTTTTGTTACTGTTAGCTTTGAACAATTTAATTAATCCTTGCTGAAAAGTTGTATTAAAAATCTTACTGACCACAAACTTACAAACAGTATGGAATATCTGAAAGTTATAAAAGCAATAAAGTTACTGTTATCTAGGGTGTCTTTTATGGATTCACAAACATTGAAATAATAACCACTGGCATTATGGCAGCATTCACAAAAAGGCCTGATATTATCCGTTTCAAATTAGATGGAATTATCTACAGCCTTAACAGCATGATGGTGATAAATGTTAATAATAAAAAATAAAAAAAAGGTTGACAGTACCTTTCTGCCCAGCCCCTCACAGTGCTGGCCCACAGCCTGTGCAAACCTCTTGATGAAGACCTGACCCAGCTCTTCAACCCTCTTTCTGATCTCTTCGGTTGGGTCAACAGTGCAGTTCTGACAAACACATTACAAATAATACATATTATATATCACTTTGTTTCTGAATAATATCGATCTGGCTTTTCTGTCTAGGAAACAAAATATTTTTTAAAGGAAATACCTTGTAATAGACTAGGAGATTGCTTGAGGGCTGGTCACTGGCTGAGGTGAGATCAACCCTGAGCTGCTGTATGGAGTTCATTGCAGCCCTGGAGAAACAAAACAGGGAACATGAGTGAAAAGGAAAAAAGGTGCTGGCAGGACAAGTTTCCATTATGGTCAAATACTTTCAAGACGACCTTCGGTACAGGAAGGTCTCAACAAACTCAGAAGAGGTACTTTTGCTCATATACGTCCTTCATCCATTAGAGTAATATTAGTGTATCGAGTACCCAGGATAAGTTCAGAGCTTTGGGGTCCACATGAAAACATCAAAACCAGATCTCAGAGGGAATCCCATCATGTGGCATAAGCTTAGTGCATTATAAAACTGTTGGGTGCACATAATACTATACACACAAATGAGCTAGGAGATTGCTTGAGGGCTGGTCACTGGCTGAGGTGAGATCAACCCTGAGCTGCTGTATGGAGTTCATTGCAGCCCTGGAGAAACAAAACAGGGAACATGAGTGAAAAGGAAAAAAGGTGCTGGCAGGACTTAAAATTGGACAAGTTTCCATTATGGTCAAATACTTTCAAGACGACCTTCGGTACAGGAAGGTCTCAACAAACTCAGAAGAGGTACTTTTGCTCATATACGTCCTTCATCCATTAGAGTAATATTAGTGTATCGAGTACCCAGGATAAGTTCAGAGCTTTGGGGTCCACATGAAAACATCAAAACCAGATCTCAGAGGGAATCCCATCATGTGGCATAAGCTTAGTGCATTATAAAACTGTTGGGTGCACATAATACTATACACACAAATGACTGTGACTCTGACTAGTGAGCAAATTCACAAGCTGTTTTTCTTCAAGAAAGGTTTCAAAGATTTAGGATCCTTCAGAAATCATTCTGATATGCTGGTTGGGTGCTTTTTTTTATTAATGTTGATAACTCACGTTATATATAAAATAAATGTAGGAGAATGGTCTCATTCTTTCATGTTCTGGGTATTGAAGGAGCAAAGTCGCACCTGATTGGGGTCTGTGGAACTGGAATTGCAACGTCATCTCCAGACAGATTCTTTCTTGGAGTCATTTCCACCTTTGACCTACGAGGAATATTGATATTTATTTCGAAAACATATGTAGCTGCAAAAATGTATGACAACATGATTTTAATTTGATCACACTCACACTTCTGTTTTGTTGGGGGAAAGCGTCTCATCATCAACCAAGAACAACCTGGCATCAAAGTCCTTGTTTTTATGGTACAGCTCTTCGTATTGCTTGGAAAGTGTTTCTATCTATAATAAAAGGAAAACAGACGGCCACAAGCATTACTTTAATTCAGACTTTGGAAGGAAATTGTATTGCATGTCTTTCTCATAGCTGTTACTTTAGTGTTAATAATCAGAGCTGAACCTGCAATACCATTCCTAATTATCACCATGCAAACAGAGAGACTATAAAACTGTGTACATAGTCCAACATGTAACAAGCTATAAAACACAAAACAGGCAAGTTCAAATTCATAGTCCAAGGTGGGAAGTACCCCATGGGGATTTGATTAGTTATCTAAAAACCCTATAGCTCTCACAAGAAGGGACAATGTGGCCATGAGGATACACTATCATATCCAGATCCAGAATCCAGAGAGAAGCTGGGGGAAACTCCACTCACACAAGCAGAAACTGTAAACAAGTCTTGTTGTTTACATCAACAAACAATAGAATGACAAATATTTCCATTTTTCTTTAATGACTCACCCTTGGCCAAGAGGAACATGGTCCAACTGCTTTCCCAAAGCTCTGTTCTCCTTGAAGGAAACATACATGGGGCAGTAAGATCACTGGTGTTTAATGGAACAACTCTAGAATCTTCTTTTGGTAACTACAGGTGGGCAAACAGCAGACTGAAAGAGAATTTCTACTCACTTTGCTTTGTCAGGCTCTGCAGAGATTTTTTCACAAGTCCTGGAGGAAAGTTAAAGATGGACTTTATGTTAGTCTCGGCATATAGAGGTGCACCAAAATGGCAGAAAAGTTAATTAAATATAATTATTATTAACAACAACAACATTAATAATGGCTATTAATAACAACAATACTTATTATTAGCTAAAAATATTCACAAATATTATTATTACATGTGTTGCCGTTAGGGCTGTGCAATATATAGAAATATCGCAATATGCATATCGCTACAGCTTGCAATATTTGGGGCCATGAACAAAAGACAAAGAGAAAATCACTCACTGCTCTTACCTAAATAACTTTTGTAGCTTAAATAAGAATCAGTGCATACTGAATTCAAACAGTAAATACTAAGCAGTGTTTTATTTTTCCTTTTTATTATTCAGTTCCTAAACTCATTTTAAAATGACATTTTTATGTAATGCTCGAGTAAAACACTTCCGTTCACTTTCAGAAGTTGTTGTAGGGGTGCTTTCTTATTAGAATCAGAGAAATAAAAAAAAATAAAAATCATGACCAAAAATGTTTAACAAATATGTTTTACATTCAGTAAGATAATCTTTGACATGGAAGAAAGTAAAGTGAACTGAAGGCCAAATAAATAAAAGCACTTAAAAAAAAAAAAACAATAACAACAACACATAAATAAAAACACTTATTTATTCCAAACAAATGCTAATTTATAACACAAAAAACTCAAAATCTAGATTTATAAAAATTTTGGTGCATCATTAGCATGTACTGTATATTATAATCACAATCAAAAACCAACATAAAATCACTGAAACCCACATATAATGTCCAACAAGAGCTTATCGACTGTTATAGACATAAATGTGAAAATGTTATTTTCGATGCAGTGAGGAGGCTACCACAAATAACCACAGAGCCTGCGGGCACGAGGCACTCGAAACTCAAAAACAAAGCACTACCCAGCAGCTTGACTTACATCCAACCACATATCTAGACTTTCTGTTCACCACTTATGAAGCACTGTTTTTCAGTAACTGCAGAAGAACAGACTGAACTGGGGCCAGCTGGCTCGAAATCAAAGCCAAATAACCCACAGAGCAGATCTGTCCTATACCGAGACGGCTGCTGCCACCTTCAGGTTTACAAATGACATGGAGAAACGTCTCATGTCTTTTTACCATTCAAATGGACTAAGAAATGAATCAGCAAGTTATAATGCGGATCATGCAACCAAAAAGCTTAAGCAATTATCGAAGGCAAAACAGAAAACCGTTTTAATGCAGTAATACACAATAGGTTTCATCACCCAAAGAGTGACGTGAGATGAGTCACGCATTCTTCAAATGCGATGCAATGCATGCATTATCTAAAAAAAAGTGTCATGCTGAGGGAAGGCACCCTGAGGCATGCCCAAGCATCACCCGATTTTTAACCGTTCAGTCCTTCACTGTAATGAGCTTATAAACCTTATATATCTTTGCATTCTGTATACATTCAGGGATAGTTAGTTTCCGTTTCCCTCTAAGATACAATCTTAAAAAAAAACAAAAAAACATTCTAAATGAAAAGTCCACACCACAGCTATAACGATAACGACACAGAAGAACAATATTGGAATCAATTTCAGAACGATTTTTTCAAGCTGAAAAATTGACAGACAATTGGAATCAATCCTGGTTTAAAAAGCTCAAGGCGGAAGACAACAAAACTGCAATGGATGCTTAACATAATCAGAACATTATCATGTGTTGGTGTGGACAGA